GCTGCATACTAATGAGCTGAGTGACGAGGGAAGAAACTTGCCCAGAAAAGACATAATGGCTCAACTCTGCAGCTCTGACACTAAAGCTGGAATTGATTACCTCTGGCTAATACATCCTCCCCTCCTTGCATGACTAAGTTTTCACACTGAACATGTACCTGCATTTAGTCAATTCTCTCTCTCTTTTTTATGAAATAGGAATGCAAAGTTAAATCACACTTTTTGCCACAAGAAAACATTTCAGATTAATTCTCAAATACAGAGTGACAAAAGTTTTATTCAGTGTTTTAATTTTTTGCCCCTCCCCTAAGTGTATTTGTCTGAGAATTACAGATTTTTGGATGCATGTTTTGCACTACCTCTATTGCCCTAGAGTATGCTCGGGTTTGAAAGAAACAGGCTTGGACAGAATAAATCAGGGTTTTGGAAAATACATGTTGAGAGTCACATTGAGATAAAGGGCTATCAACTTGATTTTCCTCAAGTTACTTTCTCTAAAAACAGGTTGATAGTAAACACAAATGAAATATTTTAAGACTAGAAAACATGACTACAATTTTTCTTAAGTGATAAAAAAACACTCTGAATAAAATGTCAAAAGATGGTGATTTCTCTCCAAAAGTCACGGATGTAATATATTTTTTTCTAACCAGTGTCCTTCCTTTGGTATTTATTAATTGCATTTTCTCTATGGCCATAAGCCACCAGATTCTCAAGGGTTCCCATTAGTAATGGCTGGATGATATTAAAGCATGGATAACCATCAGCTCAAGGTGAACCACAGACATTTATCATTTATTCATATTGTGTCTGTTTCTTAAAAATAGTGCTCTACTCTTTCTGCTTTCTTCCAGCAATGGTAGTTTCATGCATGCTTTATAAGGGCTCTCCACAAAAAAAGTTCTGTGAAAAATATTTCAACCACTCTATCAAATAGACAAGGTCATTGCATTCTTGTATAATTCTGTGTTTAATTGAAATATGATCAAACTTTGATTACTGGCTATGCTCACATGTTTTTGCTATGTTCAGCTTTTTCCATATCTGTAACAGACATTTGTATGTTTTGGTCAGCATGAACTTTACTAAATGGTTCATCCATCATTTCATGTAATAAAGATTGATTTTCAGCTGCATTACAATAGAGCTGTGGAAATAAATTTCTCCAAAGAAACCTGTTTTCAAAGTTTGCCTACATCTGTTTGCTTGCTTTCTGCTTCCAGGTATACTTTATTTTTTTTAAAACTCAAATTATACACACAAGTCAGGTGCAAAATAAAACTACATTTTGGTTTTGAAACATTTCTTACAGGCTTGAATTTCAGGCAGAAATTAAAGTCTAGGGACATAATCACTAAACCTAAAAGCATAGGTTTTCCCTCCTGCTCCTTGAAAAACAGAAGTAACACTTCACCAGGAACAAAAAAGAATGCTACCAAAATTCAGGGAGGTATACATTTGCATAATGCATCTTTTAACAAGGGATTGAGTGAGGGCATACATGACAATGCTAGCATGATGTTTTCTCCTTGCTGTCAATTATCCTTGAGTCACCCTGCAGTTTAAGCTTTAGGTCAATAAAATGAATTTCAAAGCAGAAGCCTTCAGGACCATGGAAGAATTAACTTTGTGGGGTTGCTTGAAAAACAGCAATGAGTTTTCCATTTCTTTTTACCTCATGAGCTATTTTTTCAGTGTTTGTCGTTTATTCAGTAGATGCTTTATTTGTATTTAATTTAATTTCTTGATTAAAATTTATTTCTACAAACAAACATTTGTTTTAACTGTAATAAGATGGAATTTAAGTTCTAATTTTGAAAGCTAGTATTGAATCAAATATTCACAAGCAATTCTTCGGAGTTAAACATATTTTTATATTTCATTCCAATTTCCTATGCTGTACAATATGCTGTTTTCTGATGCCTAAAGAAAAGGAGCTATTTTACCATTTATAGGAAGCAAGGTTTAAAATGACTGTGCAATTGTTGAGGGTATTCCAAAACCATCTTTCTTCAGCAAATTCACTATTTAAAAAACTTTCCACACAATGCTAGTTTAAATTACTAGCATTTTTCTTTCACTGGAAGTACTATCTTTAATATTTGTAAATATTAAATTACAAAAGTTTTAGAGAGAAAGTGTGAAGAAGGTATAGAAAGTTGCTTCTTAATAGCAAACGATGTTAGTATGGCACATTCATTATAATTTATGAAACCATATTGATACATTAAGTAAAAATGTAGTTCACTGATAACTTCTTAACCTGTACCCAGTGGCCCCTCTAAGCTCCAGGACACCTTCAGTGATAGAACATTGAATGACATAATCATGTTTTCTTCAACTCATCCACTTCATAGCTGGCCCTTAGACTCCCTTGCTTTTGACAAATTTGAAAACCCTTTAAAGGCAATAAACAGATTGTGTATAGGACCCTCATTTGGGATTTGTCTGCTTTCTTCTGGTTTAGACTAAGGCGTTGAGAAAATGTGGTATCAATAGGACTTTTGGTTGATGTTGATTTTTGATCACTACACTAGGCTAGTGTTATTTAGATTTCCCTTCTCTAAAGTGACAAGTTTTACCTTTTATATGTTATTTGTGGGGAGGAAATCCATATCTTCAACCATCACTTTAATTGTACATTTTCTTTTACCATTTCTGAAGAAGTTCTTCTTTTTTAAGCGAATTTTTATTTAAATTAGAAACAAGCTTGTTTTACATGTCAATCCCATGTCCCTAACTGACCCCCTATCCCTTTCCCTTTCTGCTCCCCAGGGAAGGTGAGCCTTCCATGGGGGATGTACAAAGTCTATTATATCATTTAGAGCAGAGCCTAGACCCTTCTCTTTGTGTCTAGGCTGGGAGAGTATCCCTCTATGTGGATTGGGCACCCAAAGTCCATTTGTGTACTAGGGATAAATACTGATCCACTACCAGAGGCCCCATGGATTACCCAGACCTCCAAACTGACATGCTCATTAAAGAGGTCTGGAACAGTCCTATGCTGGTTTCCCAGCTATCAGTCTGTGGTCCATGAGCAACTCCATGTTCAGGTCAGCTGTTTCTGTGGGTTTCTCCAGCCTGGTCTTGACCCCTTTGCTCATCACTCCTCCCTCTCTGCAACTGGATTCCAGAGTTCAGCTCAGTGTTTAGCTGTGGGTGTCTTCTTCTGCTTCCATCAGCTGCTGATGAAGGCTCTAGGATGGCATATAAGGTAGTCATTAATCTCATTATCTGAGGGGGGCATTTAAGGTAGCCTCTCCACTGTTGCTAAGATTGTTAGTTGGTGTCATCCTTGTACATCCCTGGACATTTCCCTAGTGTCAGATTTCGCTTAAAGCCTATAATGGCTCCCTCTATGATGGTATCTCTTTTCTTGCTCTCCTCTATACTTCTCCTGACTCCATCTTCCTGCTCTCTCATGTCCTCCTCTCCCCTCCTCTTCTCCCCTTCTCTTTCTCCTAACTCCTTTTCTGCTCTCCCATGCTCCCAATTAGCTCAAGAGATCTTGTCCCTTTCCCCTTCTCCGGGGGACCATTTATGTCTCTCTTAGGATCATCCTTGTTTCCTAGCTTCTCTGGCAGTGTAGATTGTAGGCTGGCAATCTCCTGCTCCATGTCTAAAATCCATATGTGAGTGAGTACATACCATTTCTGTCTTTTTGCGACTGGGTTACCTCACTCAGAATGGTTTCTTCTAGTTCCATCCACGTGCCTGCAAATTTCAAGATTCCATTGTTTTTTCCACTGAGTAGTACTCCACTATGTAAATGTATCACGATTTCTCTATCTATTCTTCAGTTGAGGGGCATCTAGGATGCTTCCAGGTTCTTGCTATTACAAATAATGCTGCTGTGAACATCGTTGAACAGATGTCCTTGTTGTATAAATGTGATTATTTGGGGTATATGCCTAAGAGTGGAATTGCTGGACTTTGTGGTAGACTGATTCCCATTTTCCTGAGGAATCGCCATACTGATTTCCAAAGTGGCTGTACTAATTTGCACTCCCAGCAGCAGTGGAAGAGTGTTCCCCTTTCTCCACATCCTCTCCAGCATAAACTATCATTGGTGTTATTGATTTTAGCCATTCTGATAGGAGTAAGTTGGTATAGATGTTTTGATTTTCTTTTCCCTGATGCCTAAAGATACTGAGCACTTTCTTATATGTCTTTCAGGCATTTTAGATTCCTCTATTGAGAATTCTCTATTTAGTTCTGTGCCCCATTTTTTAATTGGATTGTTCGGTGTTTTGGAGACCAGCTTCTTGAGTTTTTTTATATTTTGAAAATCAGTCCTCTGTCATTGTGGGTTTAATGAATATAATTTCCCATTCTGTGTGCTGCCTTTTTGTCTTGTTGACTGTGTCCTTTGCCTTACAGACGCTTCTCAGTTTCAGGAAGTCCCATTTATTAATTGTTGATCTCAGTGTCTGCTACTAGTGCTATGTTCAGGAAGTAATCTCCTGTACCAATTCTTTCCAGAGAATCACATACTTTCTCTTCTAAGAGTTTCAGTGTGGCTGGATTTATGTTGAGGTCTTTGATCCATTTGGACTTAATGTTTTGTGCATGGTGATAAATATGGATCTATCTGCAATCTTCTACATTGCATCAAGTTATTCCAGCACCATTTGTTAAAGATGCTTTCTTTATTCCATTGTATAATTTTAGCTTTTATCAAAAATCAGGTGTTCCTAGGTGTGTGGGTTAATATCTGGGTTTTCAATTCCATTCCATTGGTTTACCTGTCTATTTTTGTGGCAGTACCAAGCTGTTTTCAGGACTATAGCTCTATAATAGACCTGGAAGTCAGGGATGGTGATACCTCCAGAAGTTCCTTTATTGGACAGGGTTGTTTTGGCTATATTGGGTGTTTTGTTTTTCCATATAAAGTTGAGAATTGTTCTTTCAAGGTCTGTGAAGAATTGTGCTGGGATTTTGATGGGGATTGCATTAATTGTATTTTTTCATATTCTTTACACTCCCCAACTTCTCCCAGATCCTTCCTACTTCCATACCCATCCAATTTCATCTTTCTGTCAAAATACATTCCTCAAAAACAAAGGAGAAATCTGAGCAACAAATCTTTTCAACAAGTAAAAGAATATCAAAACAGAACAAAGAAAAATAAGCACATCATGAACATACATGGAAAACAAAACAAATAAACATGGAGTATATTTGTGTTGACAAACTACTCCTGTGCATGGGACCTGCCCTGGAGTCTGGTTAATATATCCAATGATACTCCACAATGAAAATATGTTTTCCCTTTCCAAGAAAGTATCAATTGCAAATGGCTTCTTGGTTAAGGGTGGTATTTTGGGTCTAATTTCCCTTCTCCACACTGGGATCTTGTCTGGTTATAAACCTTTGCAGGCTGTTGCTGTCTCTTTGAGTCCATGTAGGTTTCAGCACTGGTATACCTGGAATATGTTGTTTCCTTGGAGATATCCACAACCTCTGGCTATTACAATCTTTCTGTCTCCTCTTCTGTATAGATCTCTGAGCCTTGAGTAGAGGAGTTTAATGAAAACATTCCATTTAGAACTGTGTGCCCCAACATCTCCCACTGCCTGCCTGTTATGAAGTTATGGTTATCTATGTTTTCTTGTTTTGATAAAATTTTTCTTTCTTTTTTCATTATTTTTTAATTAAATATATTCATTTATTTTTCATACTGACTGCAGTTTTTTTCTCCCTCCTTTCCTCCCGTTCCCTCCTCCCATCTGGTCTGACCCCCAACCCCAAATCTTTCTGTTCAGAAAGGGTCAGGCTTCCCATGAGTATCAACAAAGCATGGCATATCAAGTTGAGATAAGACTAAGCTCCTCCCCTCATATTAAGGCTTGGTAAGACCACCCAGTATGAGGAATAGGTTTACCAAAACCCTGCCAAAGTGTCAGGAACAAGCCAGTTATCCAATACTAGGAGTCCCTTAAATAGACCAAGCTATACAACTGTCTCACATATGTAGAGGTTTAGGTCAGTCACATGTGGGCTCCTTAGCTATCTGTCCACTGTCTGTGAGCTCCTATGAACCCAGATTAGTTATCCCTGTGGGTTCCCTTGTGATGCCCTTTGATGCCCTTGAATCCCCTGGCTCATAAAATCCTTCCTAACATTATGGACCTTTTTTAAAATTTAAATTCTTTAATTGCTACTCATATTTACATATCCATCATCCCCATTCCCTCGCCCTTCCATCCTCCCATGTCCCCTCCCCAAACCATCCACCAACTCCTACCCAGGAATAGTGAGGCCCTCCACCAGGAACCTTCGAAGTCTGTCATGTCATTTGGGGGAGGGTCTAGGCCCTCCTTGTTGTATCCGGGCTATAATATTTTCCCTCCATAGATAATGGGCTCCCAAAATCCATTTGTGCTCTAGGTTTAAAGACTGGCTCCACTGATATCAGTCCCACAGACTGTCTTGGCCTCCTAGCTGGCACCCACATTCAGAGGGCTTGGTTTGGTCCAATGCTGTTCCCCTAGCTTTATGACTAGGGTCTCCATGCTCTCACTAGGTCATGTCAACTGTTTCTGCTGGTTTCTGCAGCACTGTCTTGGCTCCTTTGCTCATCCCCCCTCCCTCTCCACAACTGGACTCCAGGAGTATGGTTCAGTGCTTACCTGTGGGTGCCTGTTTTTGCTTCGAACAGCTACTGGATGAAGGCTATCTAGCGTTACACAGTGATCTGCCCTCATTGCTTCTTTTCCTAGGCAAGTCCTAGATGGAGCCGTCATCTCCAAGGAGTTCTAGTTGTCAAATATGTTTAATGTTACTGATATGGCATTGTTTCCTTTGTCTCTCAGACATTAAAAAAAAGATATGTGTGCATATATGTGTGTGCATATGTGTGGATATACATTTTTCTGTAACTTTTTCCATATGTAACTACATGCATCTGCATTAGCTTGAACATGAGCTCATAATGATGTTGGCCTTCTCTAATCCAGTGACTGGAAAATCATTCTAGTCCTTTCCCCTCAACCTACCTGCAAACATCTACTCAAAAAAAATTGAAAACTGTTCCCTATATAGATTGTCTATTTAATTTTTCATAATCATTGTACATGTAAGTAATATTGAAATTTGTTTTTACTAATTCTTTGAAAATTCAAACCTGTACAATATATTTTGATCATATCTACCCTATACAACACCCAAAAACTCCTTCCAGATCCTTTCATGCTCCACCATGATGGTTGGTTATTCATCAACTTGACACATTCTAGAGGGACTTGAGGAATGGTTTCCATCCAATGGCCTGCGGGCAGGTTGATGGGTCATTGTCTTGATTGATGATTAATGTGAGAGGCATCAGCCCACTGCAGAATTTGCCACCCCTGGAAAGGTGGTATTCAGTTATATAAAAAGAAAACTTGCTGAGTACGAGCAGGTAGCTAGAACAAGTGAGAAAGCATCATTCTGCTTTGGTCTCTGCTTCAGTTTCTGCCTCCAGCCTTCCTTGGTTTCCCTTCATGATGGACCAGCAAGATAAAATAATCTCCTTCTTCCCAAAACAATTTTGGTGTTTTATCACAACAATAGAAACAAACAAAATACCATCTACCTTCATGTCTTCTTATTTGTATACCATAGATAGGATAACAAAATTAAATTCCAAATAGTATACTCAGAATGGTACACTAGTTTTTAATTGTTAAGAATTTTTCTTTTTTTTTATTCTTTGAGAATTTCCTACATGTATGTATGGAACAGCTTAAGTCCACATTCCAACAGATATAATAATATGTAAACATACACATTCCTTATGTTACCTCTCTATTTTTATCAATACCCCTGCAACACTTTCCCTACCTAACTTTTTGTCTTTTTTATCAAGTCAGTAAGTCCAATCAGTGCTTTCCATATATGCATTGGTTGGGCTATTTAGTGTGGCATGAGAAATACATGGGTAAGTTCATCTTCAAACATAAAGAATAATCTTACCTTTCAAATCAGCTATCAGCTGCCAAAACCTCCTCAGTAATGGGTGGAGCCTTGACACCATCTCCTCTATCAATGTTGCAATTTTTATCACTGTATTGATGTAGCTGTAGATATCCACAGTTCGTGAGTGTCATAGCCATAGCATGTCCAGTTGACAGTATTTCACAACATAGCACTCCTCAGCTTCTAGTTTGCATGCTTTCACTACATCATAGTGGGAAAGATGGGAAGGAATAAAGATGACCAAATTTGGTTCTAAATACTTTGACTAACTATGTGTCTCTGCACTGGCTGCGGCCCACTGAAAAAGGAAGCTTCTCTGACCAAAACTGGGAATATTTCAGATCTATGGATATAAACAGAAATATTTAGAAGGCCAACTTGACAACATGATCAATTAATAAAATAACAATATCAGGTTCTATCATAGAGCCTGCATGACTTGCCCCAGCCATGAGCTTTTGACTACAGATGTAGCATGAGGCATGACATTCCTTTATGTGGAGTGTCTTAGTTGGGGTTTTATTGCTGTGAAGAGACACCATGATCATAGCAACTCTTATAAAGGAAAAACATTTAATTGGAGCTGGCTTACATTTTCGGAGGTTTATTCTATTATCACTATGGAAACATGGTGGCATACAAGCAGGCATAGGACTGGAGAAGGAACTGAGAGTTCTGCATCATGATCTACAGGCAACAGTAAGGGAACTGTCATACTAGGTGTGGCTTGATCATATATGAGACCTAAAATCCTGCCTCCACAGTGACACATTTTTTTCCAACAAGGTCACACCTACTCCAATAAGGCCACACCTCGTAATAGTGCCACTCACTATGGGTCAAGCACTCAAACACATGAGTCTATGGGGGCCACACCTATCAAAACCACTACAGGGAGCAATCCTGAGATCTATTTTTTAAGTAGTTAGTTACCACATAACAGTTGTGCCACTATTTCACCAGTGAACATATTTGCATGGCAGGTTGGCATGGTAGCATGCAGGGTCTAGCACTGGGTAAGATCATTGCTGATTTTTGTCTTTTCTCCATCCTCAGCCTGAAGAATACCTCCTGTCACTATAAAAACTAACCATAAGGAAGTTTGCTGGTCAGTTTGAGATTTGTATCTTTCTATCCTGCAGCTAAAGTTGTGCCACCTTAGCAATAGGGTGCTACTATATAGTTTTATGGAGGGGGAAGCAAAGAACAATGGCAATAGCTTATATATTTTTGGAGACTTCTTGGGCCTCCCTGACCAATAATTCTTATGGAGGTAGTACATGCCTTGTTCTGAATTGTTTAGTACATGCCTTGTTCTGAATTTTTTGTTTAATAACCCATGTTTTTATTTTTTTTGAGCAGTATTATACATCCATGCAAGGTACCTGCATTTGAACTCTTTTGTTGTTGTTGTTGTTAAACTTAGATTTTTAAATAAGCTTACTAACTGGTGAGTTTCCATAGGCTTTTTCTTACATCCTTGATTACCTTACTCACTATTGCTTTCTCTTGTCCTTCTCCTAATACCAATAACCCACTGACTCCAAAATTAGTGCACTCAGATGCACATGTGTGTGAAGGTATCCACCAGAGTCTGATCAACCACCTGTACTTCCACAGAGAAAAATATGAACTATAGTTCAAAATTTTCTCATGGATTTTCTTCCTTTTCAATTCATCTATTTTTTGGTGTGAGAATTTTCTGCATGAGTGTTTACAGTATTTCCAGTTCTCCCTCCAACTCTTCTTATCCATCTCAAATTCATGAACTTTTGAGATCAAAATAGCAAAGCAGCCACACTAGTTAGCTATAGAAGCTAGACCGTGGTGGTACACACATTTAATTCCAGGACTCAGGAGATCTCTGTGAGTTCAAGGCCACCCTGGGCTACTGGAGAGTGAATCACAACTCATGTTTTTAATCCCAGGATTTGAGAGTTATAAAAGAGAGAGGCATTCAGTCTGAGAGTCTCTAGTCACACTGAGGAGAATGTAGCATGAAAAATAACAGACCCAGAGACTGATATTAGGGTTCAAGCTTCAAGCTGAAGATAAGAAAAGAAAAGCAGCCAGCCATTAGCTCTTACCTCTACCTCAGACTAAAAGGTGATCCTGGCTCAGCTGAATGCCTTCCTATCCTCAATGTGGCTGGAGAATGAATGCCAGTTCTGAGACCCTGTTCCTGTTTTAAATACATCTCTTCAGTCCTGGGATTAAAAGTGTGTGAGCCCAAGTGCTGAGATCATTTTTGTGTGAACTGTTTCTCTTTAAGACTGTAGCTCCATGTGACCTTGAACTAACAGAAATCTGTCTACCTCTTAATCCTGAGTCCTGGGATTGAAGATGTGTGCCTGGTTTCTATGGCTTATGGCTGATGTGGCAAGCTTTAATAAATCATAAATAATATATCACAACAAGATAGCATAGCACTTTGAGTGAATCTGAGGAGCAGTGAAGTCGGAAGCAGTCTGAGGACCACCCCTTTGGTCTGAGCATAGGTAGCGTTAAGAGCTAGTGACTGGTTCCTTTGCTTTTCTGATATTCAGCTTGAAGCTTGAACTCCAATATCAGTCTCTGGGTCTTTTATTTTTCATGCTAAGATGAACTTTTCTTCATCATGAACACATACACACACACACAGAGAGAGAGAGAGAGAGAGAGAGAGAGAGAGAGAGAGAGAGGAGTCCATTTACTGTTGCTCATATGTTTATGTGCTTAAGACTGGTCATTCAGGATTGGATAACCTATCAGTTGGCTCATTCCTGGAAGAGACTGATTCTCCTTCTCTCAGCATCATCAGTTGTCCATAGTCCTTTATCTCAAGGTAGGGACTTCTGAGATTTCCCCCATTAACATTGGCATGGTAACTGTGTTGTTATAATGCAGGTCTTGTTTAGGTGATCGTATTTTTGAGATGCACCTTCCCTGTCATATCTAGAAGACACTATCTCATAAAAGAATTCCTGGTTCTATGGAACAATATTTCTGGCCTCTCTTCTATGGTTTTCCTTGAGCTTTAGACATAGTGGGTGGTATTGAAGGTATATCAGTTGGGGTTAGGTATCCCATTATGTATCGTCTATGAATTTTAACCAGTCACAGATTTCTGTAATTGTCTCTATAATCTTAAAAACTAAGTATGTTTGATGAGAAGCAAGAGATATACTTATCTGTGAGTATAAGAATAATTTTTACAATGCAGTTAAAACATTTACTAGTTTAGAAAAAATAGCAACAGTGGGTTCTTTTCCAGGGTCCAGAACCTCACCAACTACTGGTAGTTGGCTAGTTTTATAGTACCAGGCATGAATTACCTCCTATTGAACATGCCTTAAGTTCAATTACATAGCTTTTTGTTATCTCCAAGATATAAGCATCATTTTTGGATACTTGACAGTATCTTCCTGTGCTGCTCATTGTTGCAGTTCATAGACTTTACAGCAGAAGTGACCCTGATTCAGGAAGAGAAATCCCACATTTTCTTTTATTCTAGGAGCCTAGCTTCAAATCTTTATATACATGTTTGTAACCAAGACTAAGCACAGAAACAAGGAAAATAGAAAGACACCATGAAAAGAGAGTAAGAAGGGGCTCTAGAGAGGAAAATGGTAGAATAGAGGTGCTATGAAATAGAAAATGCAGGGGACTTAAGCAGGGGAGGAGATAGTGAAGGTAACAGAAAGGGAGATGAAGGGTAAAATAACACCAAAGATATCTGAAGAAAACATAGGGAAATGTTAAAAATTATTTAAGATAGATAGACAGATTAGGTTAAGTTAGATAAATGTTTGTGTACCCACATACATAGTTTAAATGAAATTATGCCTTTGGGAGTGATAATGTGCCTGTGTGCCACTTCATTTTTTTCTATAATCAGAATTATTGCATCAAAATACATTATTAAATCTAAAATGTTCAAAGTCATAGCTTTCAATGCTTATAATTCTCTTTCTCATAAATGAAATCCTTCTGCAAAGTGGCCATATACCCACCTTCTCCCCATTTTTCCCCATTAAAACTTCTGATTGTGTTAGAGTTTATTCTAACCCTCATTGACAAATGTAAAACACTGAGGAGTTTTTAGTCATCAATAAAATGGTTCTTTTCAGCACTGACTACTTATAATTTACTCTACCAGGACCTTTAAATATGCTGTTTAAAATGTGTTGTCAGTCATTGTTGATAATAGAGTGGTAAAAGAAACAGATACGTGCAAATGGGAGATTGTGTGGAAAGTTACACGGTTGTTGTCTTGGTTTCTATACCTGTTGTGATAAGATACCCTGACAGGGATAAAATTAAAGAAATTCATTCTGGCTCACAGTTCAAGGTATAGTCTGCCAGAGCAAGGAAGTCAAGGCAACAAGCGCTTGAGCTGTTTATTCCATTACATCCACAGTTAGAAAAGACCAATGATAGTGCTCAGTAGTTCTTATCTAGCTCAGGACCCCAAGGCCAGACAATGTACTGCTCTAAGTGGGTAAGTCTTCCCACATCAGTTAACATAAGATAATCCTTCACATATAATTTCAGTGGGCTTTTCCCAGGTGACCCTAGATGGATTCAAGTTCACAATGAAAAGTAACCATCTTAGTCTTGTAAAACCCTTATCTCCATCATGCATCTCAGATTTTATTGCTACTCTTTTTCACTTCAATTATATACATATATAGTTAGCATTTCTACTTTTTGATTACAATCCAAAATAGTGTCTTCTATATAGAACATGGAAGATGCACCCATAAAATCTCAACAATATAGCTACCTAAACAAGACTTGCATAATGACAGCACCTGCTGACATGTCTACATGGGTGAAGGAATTGTCACAAGATGCTACTCTTAGATGAAATGTTACCAATGATAGCTGATAAGAGATTCAGTTTCTTTCCCAAGGACAAACGCCCCCCCCCCAATAGATTGATCAATCCCAGATGGCCAGTCTTACATACATGTACATAGGAGCAAAACTAAATAAATTCAGCATGTTGCAATTATGTAATGATAGTAAAGAAGAGGTCAGGAATTCGAGGGGACATGAAAGGAGTTGGAGGGTAGAACTGAGACTGAGTGGAAATGATGTAAATACGATACTCGTTATGAAATTCTCAAAACTCTTGGATAAGCAAATACAGAAAAGAATAAGTAAAGGTTAATAGATGTAGGATGATTTAGAGAACATGGAATACTGTGAAAAGAAAGCAGTACTCTTGAAGGACAATAAAGCAGATATCAGAATGCTAAGTGATTTTGTGGTTATATGGAACAAGATTGATATGTAAATTGGCTACAGATAATAACAAATGACAGGCCTAAATGTCAGGTCATAGAGACAATGGTACACTGAAGAATAGAACTGAAGAGAAGAAAGGAAGAGTTAAGCTATCCAACTAGGCAAAGGAAAATAATGTTTCCACCATTATACAATTTAAGTGCAGTAGCTACAATGAAAAAAAATGCAGCTCCTAAATGAGACTAAATAAGATTGTTTGTTTTGATTTTCATTCTTTGTTTTTGAGAAAAGAGGGTGGAAGAGAAACAACATGAAGTTGAGTGGGAAGAGAGAGCTGAGAGGAGTTGGAGGAAGGGAAATAATATGACAAAAATATATTGTATGAAAAAATTTCATAAAATTAAAAAAAAAAGATTTTCAAGGCAGGACTGATGGCTCAGCAGTTAAAAGTACAAGCTGTTTTTCCCGAAGATCCGGATTCAGTTTCCCACAATATGTAACTCCAGTTCAAGGGGATCTGACAACCTCGTGTAGCCTGTGTAGGTGCATGATATGCATGTGGTACACAGATACACGTTGGGCAAGACACCCATGCATATAAAATATTTTTTTAATTTTAAAAGGAAGATATTCAGCTGTTAAACTCTACAATAAATATGTTCTTATTGTAAAAAATTATTTTACTTACAAATGTACCACAGTTTCATTATTCATTTGCCAGTTGAAGGATGTTTAGTTTGTTTCGATTTACTAGCTATTGTGAATAAAGAGGACAATGACTGGGGCTGAACAAGTATCTCTGAAGTAGGAGATTTAGTCCTTTGGGAATTAAGAAGAAGCCCACATGGTGAAAGAGAAACTTCGCCAGCTATATATCTGACAGAAAATTAATATCCACATTATACAAAGAACTCAGCAACAACAAACACCAAAGAAAACAAATGGTCCAGTTAAAACCTGAGCTACAGATCTTGTGAATGAACACTCCTGAAAAGAAGCTATGACTCAGAGACTGATTGGCTCATTCAAATTTCAGTACTGTGGAGAGATTGAAATGTTGCAGATCAAAAGGCTAGTGACCCTCCAGAACAACCAACGGCTCCTTGCCCACCTCTGTGTTAGAACTAGCACCCTGTGACTAGTAATAAAAACCATTTGGAATCTATTAACTCAAAACCTCAGACAGGTATCTTGGGCCCATAGAAAAGCTTCCCCCATCTTGCTGCGTCTGACTCCCTGATATACCCAACAATGTATTTTAATTTTGCCTTGACTTATGACTTTTTTTGTTCATTAAAACTTCATGAAACTGATTCCATACTGAAAAATGGAATTTGGGTTAATCTAAAAATATTTTCACAGGGCATTATCACTCAAAATGACTCCAGAACAAACTATCTTCTTTTCAGATGAAAGCTGTGGTTTTTGCATTGACAATTATGGGGTCACCATATGGGATTCAGAGAACAATCTGCTTTTTACCAGAGGAATCAGCTGAATGGAAGGCAGGTACCTGCACAGACCCAGTGAGTCCGGACCATCTGGTGTTATTTCCGAAGATGGATCGTTAGTGAGCTCTTTCAGGGGCTTCAGACCTCTTCTGACTTGGCTGATGGTCCGTTTAATTTATCTTGAGCTGGTTAGCAAGGATCCTACTTTGGTAGGTATCTTTTTGGTCTGCTTGCATAGTATTTTGGTTTAAGGAATTGCTACAGAAATACTATGTCTTCTCAGTGAGTAATCACTTTACACACTTAGAGAGGAAGCAAGGCTCTTTCCTTAAGCACCTGGCCTACTGGATCTAAAGGCCAAATAACAGTCAACCCCAAACAGAAGAATTCACTAGCTTGCATTTTACATATGCTGTCATCCTTAAATCTCTTTTGGGTCCAAGCTCCAGATTATACTTGGACCAATTTAAACAGAGATAGGAGACTTCAAGTCTGACCACTTAGGTAGATAGGAAATTTACACAGCAAAGGTATTACATTAATAGCCAGAATTATTTGAAGTATGCCAGTGTTGTTCATTTTCAAAGAGTTGTTGCCCAGGGTCATCTTACCAGCCTAGCAGAATTACATCTTTCCTGACAAGAGCTCAGGGGATTTGATGGCAGACCTGGACTTAATGATGACTGTGACCCTACAGGGCTCCCCTTACCACCCAGCTGCCTATTAGAGGTATGTCCTTGGTATGGAAATCAGTGCCTAATGAAAGGTCTTAAGTCTATGCACTCTCCTTTATCATGGGAATCAGAGACTAATGGTTGGACAATCCACTTGAGTAAGCCTTTACATCCCAGCATCCTAAATTTCCCTTATCTCTAACTGGCCTGGTTAGCACACAACTTACCTTTGGGGTACTTTGGAGGCAGCACTACTTAGCTAAATTCCACTTGTGTGACTTAATGTCTCTTAAGCAAATCTATTAGTAAATCCTTTATAATATCGATTCTATCACTTTGAGTTTCTACTACATCAGTTCCCCCCCTCCGTGAGAACTATTCAAAATCTCTTATAAAGCTCCAACTAAAACTTCTGTCCTAAGAAACTGAATACTCAGGGTCCTCCTGTTTTAGCAGCTGATAGACTGGCTTAGAAGTCAGAATGATATGTAGCTTCATGGCCTCTATCCAAGAGGTAATAAACTGGGTCAAACAGTTCAGTATTCATGATCCAAATAATAAGCTTAATAAGATGAGGAAGAAGGGCTCCATTAGAGATACTATGCAGGCTTTTCCATTCCAGTAGCCACTCCAAGAATACCAGAATATTCTCTAGTGTTCCCCTTTCATTGGCTATGTGTCCCTTTAGCAGATTTTTACCATGTTGCTAACTGTTCTTGATTTCTTGGTATGGTAACAACACTCTTTATTCAAATAAGCACATAACACCCCTGTTCCTTTCTAAGAAGTAGGTAAGTATGTTGACTGTTTCATAGAGTTGCAAGGATATATTATTTTAAGGAAAATATTTATATCATCTGAAAGAACCAGCTATTATTTATATGCATAGCAAGCCATAACTCATTAAATAAATCAGGCAATTACTTTATAAACCTTTATTTCTAAATATAATAGAGTTAGTAAAATTCTTTGTCTCAGAGCCCAGTCCTTGGGAGTCATTGTGGCTAGCCATATAAGAACCCTTATGGCCAATATTACCATGACTTCAAAGACAAGAAGAGGTGTCTTGTTCCTTACCTCCTAATGGCCCTTGTTGAATTTCTCTGGATTCTGCTGTATGATTAACTGTTGGCTTCCAGGCTGGTCAGGGTGGATGTTCACAGTCCAGGTCACCTCCTTAGGCACTCTTGCTTTCTTTACACAGACATGATGGCTGTAAGACGGTACCTGCAACTTAGTGTTTAAATGAGTGCCCATAGTTGAGCCTGATGTGCCGACTGGACCTGTGGCAGAGTCCCTGCTATATATTATCTAAAACTTTCTTGGGGACATCTTAGAGAATCAGGTGAGTACATCTCAACTATGGAATTATCTTTTGTTCAGAAGATGAGAATTAACAGCCAGGGTAGAAGGTGTGGCCAGTTGAAGTAGAATGCAGGCCTCATGCTAGTGTGCTGGCAGGATTAGGTACAACATTCCCCTGTTCACAGCATCCTCATATATCCATTCAGGAGACTTTGGGTACAGTATAATTGCTATTTGCCTCTCTTTTGGTTGATATATTTACAAAGAGTTTAGCTCCTTTGTAGGCCAAACATCTTATCTATTTTTTTCTTTAAGCTTATAAGTAACTGTAACCTAATAAACAAAAACCCATAAAAGACCAGACATATAAGGGGATTTGGAAAACATTTACACTGGGTTGTTTTTTATAATTAAAAGTATAAACAAAAGCAAGAGTATCCAGGATTGGCTGAGCAGAAACAAATACAGACCATAGGCATAGGGAAATGGAGTCCAAAGAATGGAAAGACCAATCCAGCTCAATTAGAGAAAACAGGCTTGGAGACCTATTAGAAGGAGCTTGCAAGCATTTGGACCCAGTATAGCATCTATCTCCAGTCTCCCCTAAGTCTCACAAAAAAACATAACCTCCCTGGCTGGCAAGGTCTTAGTTTTGTTAAAGAAGTGGGAAGGAGTGTCTGGTCCATCCCTGATGCCACTGTAGGTGCTACTCCAGAGGGTCCAGCAGCTACCATAGCCATTCTGCCCTAGCAAGGCTCAGTACAGGAAATGGAAAATTCAAACAGCAAAAATATACATACTGCCAAAATTGTTTTAAGTACACCAGTGTTGCCCATGTTCTTTTCTTATTTAGAAATTTTATTTTTCTTTTTACATATCAACCCCAGTCTCCACTCCTTCCCCTTCTCCTGGTCAACAACTTTCCACTTCCAAACACCTATCCTTTCCTCAGAGGGAGTAAGATGTTCCTTGGGGATTCAACAAAGTCTGGCATACAAGTTGAGGCAGGACCAAGCCCCTCCCCTGTGTATCAAAGCTGAGCAAGGTATCCCATCATAGGGAATGGGCTCCAAACAGCCAGTTCATTCACCCGGGATATGTCTTGGTCCCACTGCAAACCCCCCAACATATCAAGCCACATAATTGCCACCCATATTCAGAGGGTCTAGTTTGATCCCATGCATGTTCCCCAGCTGTCAGTCCATAGTCTGTGAGCTCCCACTATCTCCGGTCAGCTGTCTCTGTGGTTTTCCCTATCATGGTCTTGACCCCTCCCTTTTTCATATGACTCTTCCTCCCTCTCTTCAACTGAACTCCAGGAGCTCAGCCCAGTGTTTAGCTCTGGTTCACTACATCTGCTTCTATCAGTTATTGGATGTAAATTCTATGATGACAATTAGGGTAGTCACTAATCTGATTATAGGTGAAGACTAGTACAGGCACCCTTTTCACTATTGCTGGGAGTCCTAGCTGGGGTCATCTTGTGGATTCCTGAGAATTTCTCTACCACCAGGTTTCTCCCTAACCCCAGAATGGCTCCCTCTGTCAATGGCCCACTTATGATGAGTGGGAGGGGCACTTCCTGTTCCTTTTAGATACATAAGATCCATTTTCTTGTTCTGAGCAGAATTAAAACCTCCTTCCTCCTTATAGAAGGGTCTTAACTGAATATTTTGTGTCAAATAAAAGAGCTCTATGGTTCAGAAGCTATACCCTAGGCAACACGTGGAGCAGGATTTAAGGGTGAAATTGAGTTTACAATCTCATTTATAGTGCTCAATCCAGCTCAACAAGTGGCGAATTTCCTCAAAGAAAAACTTCTTCCTTAAAACTCTGAACAAACAAGGGTTCTGTGTAACATACAGAGAACTCCCTGGGAGATAAATAGGCAAATGCCTTTTTTTCTGTTTTCCACTTTCAATTTGACTCTTTTAATAGGCTTGTTGTGGAGAGGTGGCCAAACATGACTTGGGGCACTGACTGTGACCCCACTTACCTGCCTGGGGCAATGACATACCACTCCCCTATCAGCTATTTTAGGGAGTGTTTTATTTAGTTAGGGCTTCTATTGCTGTGAAGAGACACTATGACTATGATAACTCTTATGAAGTAAAATATTTAATTGGGGTTGGCTTACAGTTTCAGAGGTTTAGTCTATTATCTTTATTGTCATGGCAAAAACACAGTGGGGTGGAGGCAGATACTGTTCTGGAGAAGGAACTGAGAGTTCTACATCCACATTGGCAGGTAGCAGGAAGAGAATGCCACACTGCACCTGCTTTGAGCATCTGAGACCTCAATGACTGCCTCTAGGAACACATTTCCTCTAACAAGGCCATACCTACTCAAACAAGACCACGCCTCCTATTAGTGTCACTCCCCGTGAACCTATGAGAGCCATTTTCTTTAAAACTACCACAAGGAAAGAGGGGAGTAGGGAAAGCAGGGAGAGAAGGAGGGAAGAGAAAGAGGGGAGGGGGGAAAAAGGGAGGGTCAGAGGGAGAGCTAAAGAGAGGGAGGAGAAAGAGAGAAAGGGGGAGAGGAAGAGGGAGAGGGAGTAAGGCTGAAAGAACCTTAAGTCTATCTGAAAATATTAAACTTTTGATCTTTTGTGTTATCAAGCCCCCTGGCATCTAAAGAAATAAATTTTCTACCTTTCTGTCTAAACTGGGTGTACCTAATTTCATGTAATTGTGTTATATGTTTACGATAATTTTTGTATATTTCTGATTGCTTTCATATATTATATTGAAATATTTTTAACAAACTGTAGCCACTTCAGTTCTTTTTAAATTCATTTTTGCTATATGCTAAAAATATTTTTGGCATGCCCAATTAAAGTACATGTGGAAGATTCAAATTTTAATATTGTGATCATGTATTAAGGCCTGATGAATACAAACTATTAAATTTGAATACTCTAAACATCATGAAACCTATTAAAATAACTTTTGAAATAGTAAATATTTCATAAACTTTAATATTAAATATGTAGATTTTGTTAAGGATTTCCTTCCAAAACTAAATCTACATATATATTTGAATAATTTTTTACATTTTTAGTAACATTAAATTCATATGCTTTCAAAATATTTTAATATAAAACTGATAAATGCATTGTTGTTAAGATTGGATTATATATAAATATATGTTTACTGAAGATCTCTGCTAAGCTTCTGTTTTCACAATGAGAATTAAAGAAAATATAATTCAAACAAACAACGTTCAAAATGTTAGTATGTTAAGATATATCTTAGGCCAGGCGTTGGTGGCACACGCCTTTAATCCCAGCACTCGGAAGGCAGAGGCAGGCAGATCTCTGTGAGTTCGAGGCCAGCCTGGTCTCCAGAGTGAGTGCCAGGATAGGCTCCAAAGCTACACAGAGAAACCCTGCCTCGAAACCCCCCCAAAAAATATATCTTATGTATGATTTGGTATATAAACTATCCTTCTATGTTTATGGTTTGTTTGTTTTTACCTAATGTGCTTATTGCCCAACTGGCTTATAAGTAAATGCTCATGTAAACTCAGGGTAACTTGACTCAGCTTCATTTTTGGTTTATAGTAAACTAAAATTTAAAGAACAAAAATGATGAAACAAGATAAAATAATTTATTTAATCAATGTGACCACATAGGTAAAACAAATAGAAATGGCAAATACTCCTACATCTTTCTTTGGTACAATTAATATGAACCCTTTAAATTAAAATTTTAAAAACCTGCTTTTAAGTACAAGACATAGATAATTACACAGTCTTGGTCATAATGTTATCTCCTTGATCCTTATCCCAATTATGTTTCTACAATATAGTCCTTATTGCTAGAGGGTATAAATTAACTTTAAGAGCTGATTATGTAATTACCTACCCTTGAGATACTAAACACTTTATTCTAAAGTTTAAGAGAATAGTTTATGTCTATGTTTTTAGATATATTGTACATGTCTATGTGTGTGTATGTATAAATGGAAACATTTAAAGCTTTAAGCATATGCTCAATGATCACTGCATCTTTAAAACCAAACAAATAAACAGATGTGTTTTTTTCCAAATAATGTGTAATATTGTAAAAGATTTTTGAGTGAATAATTAAATTCAAAATTAGTTACAGAGTTTTCCTCAAAGGATAAAAAAATGATTCTTCAACTAAAAGAAAAAAGACAACACATCAAAGACAATATTCTGGTTTAAAGTTCAGGACTGTATCTAGGTATGTCTAATTCACTCCTAGGAGAAGATAAAATTTCTCACATCATGGGAGAGTATATTTATGATTTATGTGGACTTTTAAACTACCGAATGATACATATTGTCAATGCCACTGAAAATTAAATACCCAAAGTAACTAAGTATTTCTTTCACAGTTTATTTTTCTTAAATATTTTGGCTATTATATTTTAAAAATATTTAGGATGGCTAATGTTTTATCTAGTATATTTCTAAATGATAAAATGATAATAATCATGGTTTTACTGAGCTTACAAATGAAAATACTATGTCTCTCTGCTTCTACTTCCATCATCTGCTGGATGAAGTCTCTAGGATGGCATATAAGGTAGGCATCAATCTCATAGGAGAAGGGCTTTTAAGGTAGCCTCTCTGCTATTGCTTAGATTGTTAGTTGGGGTCAACCTTGTAGCTATCTGTATAATTCCCTAGTGTCAGATATCTCTTTAAACCTATAATGGCTTCCTCTATTAAGGTATTTCTTTCCTTGCTCTCCTGTTCTTCCCCTCAAATGTACCTTAAACTTGTCTTGACTTATGACTTTCTTTGTCCTTTAAATCTTCAAGAAGCTGATTCCGCACTGGAACATGATATTTGGTATAACATAAAGTTGTTTTCCAGACCAGAGTCATTCTGGCTACAGAATAAACTATCTTTTATTTCTTTTGAGGTGAGATTGGTGGTGTTTACACTGATAATCTGAGTATAGAATTCTCAAAAGAAGAAATTAAAAATAACAAACAAGTGTTCATAGAGATGAAACACTGGTTAGGAGCATTACCTGGTCTTGCAGAGGACCTGGGGCCTCATCCTAGCACTCACATAGCAGCATACAGCTCCAAGGGATCTAATAATTTTCTGGCTTCCATGGGCATTGCACATACATACACACCACAAAGATATGCATGCAGGCAAAACACCCATACACATAAACTATGGCTAAGAAATAGTTTTTCTTGAAATCCTCAGCAATTATAAAAATGCAAATTAAATCTGCTTTGAGATGTCTTCTTACCCCATTCAGAATGACTGAGATGCAGAAAACAACTGACAACACATTCTGGCAACGATCTGAGGGAAGTTTCATCCATTACACCTCAGGCCTAGGTAAGACCTGAACAAGTGTAACCACTGTCATATTTTTAAAACTTAGTGGCCCCATTATCTTACAATTCTGTTTCCTGTAAATAAAATCCTTCTTCAAACTGGCCATATAGACACCCTCCCACCGTTTTTTCATTACAGTTGCTGATTGTGTCAGAGTTTATCCTAATCTTTCATTGACCAATGTAAAATGCTGAGGTGATTTTATTTGTCAATAAAATAGTTCTTTTCAGTACTGACTACAATATTCTCTAATAAGACCTACTCTACATATAGAAATCTTGACTATAACTAGATTTGAGACAATAATTGACCTTTTCATTTCAATTCTTCGTTAGGCCATGAAAATGCTGGTAACTTTTATTTGTTCAGAATAGGAGCTGTGGCCACCAGTTTTTCACTGTGTTGACAAATACACAAGAGAAACAATGCAAAAGGAAGAAAGCTTCAAAAGTTTCAACCCAATGTCAGGTGAACTGATTTCATTGGGCCCAAGTCAAGACAAAATATCACGGTGGATAATATTATGGTGGCACAAGCAGTAAAGACTGCTCATCTTACAGCAGTAAGTAAGGACAGGAAGAAACATAGGAAGAGCCCAGGGATAACATACTGCTTTTTAGGTACACTTCCTCCAACGAGGCACAATTTCCACTTAAAGTCATTGTATAATAAATACATCAAAAAATTAGGGAACTAAAGATCCCCCAAACCTGTCATCTATCAATTAATCCCCCAACATAGGAGCTTTTCTGTGCTGGTGGGGATGTTTCCTATCCCAACCATAACAAGAGATAATCCCCAACATCTTTGTATTTTGGAGTTAAAACTAGAATTATTCACCAAACTTTCTTGTAAAGACATATACAGTATATTTTCAGCTTTGGAAGAAATATGATATCTGTTTCCACTGCTCAACTCAATTTTCATGCCAAAGCAACCAGAGACATTACATAAATGAATTAGTGTGGTTATTTTTTCAATAAAATATTATTTACAAGGACAAAAAATTGGATATGGCCTAAAGGCCATGTTTTTCTGGCATCTGTTGTAAAGCATTGATAGAAAATCTTAAAAGCCAGAAAACAATTCACAATCTACTTTATGAAATTGAAAAATAACAATTTGAACCAGTCTGCAGTTAAATGTTTGCAAGAAATTTGCTGATTCTACCAATAAGCTTCTCTGTTAAAACTATCAAGCAGTTTTATATATGTCTATGGCTTTAATAACTTTATACACTTCTGCTGTTATGGTCTTAATCACAGGAGTCAGTATATATTCAGTTACATTTGAAAAAATGGGCAAAAAGTCTCTTAGTTCCTTGAAATTCCTTTGATTCTATGTTTTGTAAAAGAATAATAGTTCTAAATAATGCAAAGCAAGAAATTATCTGTTTTCCTTAATTACAATTCAAAACTGACAATTCTCAATGCCTTCAGTAAGAAGTATAAAAATATCACGAGCACTTGGGGTTCAAGAAGTATACCCTTATGGAAATTAGAAGGCCTGCCACCATCTACAATTCCCTTCTGAGCTGTACCTAACATGTCTACCCAGTCACATTTTCCCACACCCTTTTCCAGGTTCTAACTTGGTGAGTATCCCTGAATGCCCCCATTCATAACTTCTCCCTAACCCACCTGACTAGACCAATATTAAATAAGGAGATTGAAATAATAATAAAAGCATTCTAGCTAATTAAATGGCTGGGACCAGACAACAGATACACAACAGAATTATACCAGATTTTCAAAATATATCTACAGCCAGTCCATCATATATATATGGAGCACTACCAAACAATTTCCATGCAGCCACTCTAATACCAAAACCAGAAGTTACAGCAACAAAAAGGAAAATTGCAGGAGAATACCCTTGATGAACAGACTCAAAAATGCTCAATAAAATACTTTCCAACAGGATAAAACATACATTAAAAAGATAACCAGGATAGTGGTGGCACACACCTTTAATCCCAGCATTCAGCAGACAGAGACAGGTGGATCTCTGAGATCAGGGCCAGCCTGGTCTGCTGCATGAGTTCCAGATCTTCTAGGGCTACACAGTAAACTCTGTCTCGAAAGACATAGCAAAACAAAGATCATACACCATGATGATGTTGGCTTTAACCTTGGAAAGCAGAAAAGTTTTTATATAAACAAATCAAAAGAATATAATAAACCACATAAGTAGACTTAAAGACAAAAGTCACATGATCATCTCAATAAATACAGGAAAAGCCTTTGAAAAAAAAATCCAACACGCCTTCATGATTAAAGTGGGAAATTACCAATACGGACCCAAGTAGAAATATAAGGGTATTTAATAGGGAAAGGCCTTACTTACAGAGCGACCTAGCCAGCCAGCGCGGCAACAGTCTGTACAGCAAGCTGAAAGATGAAACTGAAAGTGAAACCCCAGCCACCTGGACCTCTCACTCTACATCACCCTGACCACACCCTCACAGGCATGGTCAGGCAGACCTGTATCCAGCCCCTAAGCAGGCATGGCACAGAAAATAAAAAGCTATGGATTCCTTCCAGACTAATATGGTTTCATCAAGCAAGACCCCCTGAAGCAGTGACCCAACTGATCCTACATCCAAAGAAGCTGAGATGATACAGCCTTACAGACTACAAAAACAAGGACTTGGTCAGATTTCTATGTTTTATCATGATCCTAATGGTATGAACATCGCCCCCAAACAGCAGGAAGCAGTTTAGAAAGAACGACACCCATATTTCCAAATATTGTTTATATATGTTTGTTTTCCTTTAAATGGGGTTGGTTATAAATGATAATGAGTATATTCAATCTCTTTTTAAAGAAAGAAAAGGGGGAATAGTATATAGGAATGAATACTTTGCATTGGTATGGATTTTCATTTATTGATACAACTTTAAGGCCAATTTTGTGATATGTATATATGTCTCCTCTTGTTTAGGTATTGTGTTTATACAGATCTTTTACCTATAATAGTCAGAACTTATAATTAGGTTAGTTAGGTTTTCTAGATTTACAGAGATGTATGTGAGATGGTTAGGTATTCTTCAAACCTTTCAAAGACCTACAGAAATATGGCATTTAAATGATTTAGGGTTTTTCTTGGCAGTGAGACACAACTGCTCCTGGCACACCAATTACGTCAGAAAGGAAGATGGGCATCGAAGAAACTCATTATGGAGTTTGCTTTCAACATGGCAAGATTAGCCATTTGGGCAAGAAACTGCTCTTGGCTGGACTGTTCGTTGCTGTATAAACTGGACATGCAGGACCCACAAGAAAGTGACTGCTGGACTCATAAAACAAGACAGTACTGAAGGGTTCCTGTTAAAATGGAGAAGTGTGCTAGACACACTGTGGCCAATAGGCTGAAGATGGATGCCCCAACATTACAGAGTACTTTGGGTGACTGTCCAGGTAGCGAGATGTCCGTTCAATTCTAGAGTTTATATATTTTCCTTCTGTGGTCTTTGATAGAGTTGAAGACAGATAGTTATGGTTATAGTTTTCTTCAGTTATTATAAAAGATAAGTTATATTTCTTTTTATTTAGACAGAAAAGTGGAGATGATGTACTGAAGATGGATGCCCCAACATTACAGAGTACTTTGGGTGACTGTCCAGGTAGCGAGATGTCCGTTCAATTCTAGAGTTTATATATTTTCCTTCTGTGGTCTTTGATAGAGTTGAAGACAGATAGTTATGGTTATAGTTTTCTTCAGTTATTATAAAAGATAAGTTATATTTCTTTTTATTTAGACAGAAAAGTGGAGATGATGTAGAAGTACTTCTGTGTATGTTTATCTTATTGATTGTTTAATAAAGCTCTGTTTGGCCAATGAAACAGCAAGTTAGACAGGACTAGGAGTCAAAGAGGATTCTGGGAAATGTAGTAGAGAAGTGGTGATCCAGGCAGGAAGTGACATAGCAAGGAGACTCATATTTAAGCAAAGGAAACAGGAAGGGTTCCCCTTTCCCCTCCACTCTTCCTCCAGCAACGCAACGTGATCCACCGACAAGGAGGGACACCAACAAGGCGTCCGATAAGATAAGTCTTATAAAATATATAGATTTATGATAATTGAGACTGAGCTAACAGATGGGAATCCTAGTCAATGGCCAAGCAGCATTTGTACCTAATATAAGTCTCTCTGTGTATTAATTTGGGCGGGCAGCTGGTGTGAAGCGCACGGCGGTTTTGGTGGAAAGATTTATCGTAACACATGATGAAAGTCCTACGGAGTGTAGAACTAGGGAGAAATACCTCAAAACAATACAATTTATATATGAGAAACCAACACCAACATCATGCTAAATGGAGAAAAGCTGGAAGCAATCCCACTAAATACTGTACTACAAACACTAGCTTGGGCAATAAGGCAAGAGAAGGAAATCAAAGGGATACAAATAAGAAAAGAAGTCAAACATGATGCTATACAATAGAGATCAAAAGAAATTCTTCCATAAAACCTCTAAAACGATAACAAATTCTGCAATATGGCATGATATAGAATCAATTTGCACAAACAATTATATTTTATACACACCAACATTAAATATACAGAAAACAAGATCATTGGCATATCCTATTCACAATATCCTCAAATAAGATAAAATACCTAGGGATAAAATTAACCCAGGAATTGAAGTATGTCTACCCTGAAATCTTTAAATCTCTGGAGAAAGAGATAGAGAAATAAACTTGAAATTGCAAAAACATCCTATGCTCATAAATTTGTAAAATTAATATTGTGGAAATTACCATTTTACCTAAAGTTATTTACAGATTCAATGTAATCTTAATCAAAATCCCCATTTCATTTTTTATAGAAATTGAAAAACTATCCTAAATTTCGTATTTCCATAAAATAATTTCCCCCAAAACCAGAATAGTCAAACCAATCCTGAAGTTAAAAAAAACACTGCTATTAAAGCTACTATTTCTGTTCTTAAGATATATTACACAGCCAAAGTAATAAAAACAATGTGGTACTGGATAAAATACAAACATATTGATGAATAGAACAGTGTTGTAGACACAAACATGAATGTACATAACTTCAGACACTTAATATTTGATAAAGTTCTCAAAAATATCTGGAGAAAAGAATCTTTAACAGTTGGTGTTCAGAAGACTGGGCGTTTACATCAGAAGAATGAAATTAGACCTGTATCTATCACTTTAAACAAAAAGGCAAACTCCAAGTGGATCAAAATGCTAAATATGAAGCCAGAAACACTAAAACCCCTAGAAGAAAATATAGATATGATATAGATGTAGGAAAGGACCTCTTGAGTAGGAGTCCATTTGCTCAAGAATTAAGGCCAACAGTTCACAAATGAGACTTCATAATACTAAATGTTTTATTTAGCACAATCGACCTGGGGAGGAGGACACCCACAGAATGCAACAGATCTTTGCCTCTTATATATTTGACAGAGGATTAATATCCACAAAATATGAACTCAAAAATCAATTTAAAAAATCAAATGATCAATTTAAAAAATGGGCTAGGGACCTGAACAGAGAGTTCTCAAAGAGAAAAAAGAACGGGAGATAAGAAGTAACATAAAAATGTTCATTATTCCTAGCAATTAAAGTATTGCAAATCAAGACAAGTTTAATACTTGATCTTACCTTAATCAGATTGGCAAAGATCAACAAAATAACTGATATCAAATACTGGTGGGGTAGGGTGAAATGGGAGCCTCAGTCATTGTCATTGGGATTGAAAGTTGGTGCAACTACTATGGAAATCAATTTAGAGAATTCTATAAAACTAAAAATAAACCTACAATATGACCTAGTTAAGGTATTCTTTGGCACATGCCAAAAACTGGACATCCTGCTCCACAGATTGTTCAGTCATGGTCATTGCTGCTCTATTCACAGTATCTAGGAAATGGAAACAATGTCAATGTCCTACAGCTAACAAATGGATAATGAAAATCTGGTAGATAGTCCCTATGTAATACTATTCAGCAGTAAAGAAAAATGAAATTATGCACTATTCAGGTAATGGATGGAACTAGAAAAGATGATATTACATGAGATAATCCAGACCCAGAAAGACAAAGTTAAAATGTTTTCACTCATTGAAACTCCAAATCCTGCAGAAACAGGGAAAATATAATGGGACTGATGCCAGTATAGCGACATGGGGAGAGACCATGAGGGGAACAGCAGGGTACAAGTGATTAGTTCACATAAATGGCAAAGGGGAAGGGGCCCTAATTAGGCAGAGATGGGAGATAAATATGTAATAAGGAGAAATAAGGGTAAAATCATAGTAATGGTGTCTGAAAACTTCTTTAAGGAATCATATATTAACTATCTTAAAAACCATACGTGCAAGTCTATGTATAAATATATGTATGTAATTTAAATGAAATTATAGTTTAAATTTTCTCATCTGGACTGAAAATGCTCCCTTGAAGAACCAAAGAAACCTAACAAAACCCTCAACACCATACTTATGAAATCCTCTCTTAGTTTTGGTAATTGGTTGATCAGGGCTGTCCAAGAGAATCCCAATACGTGCATCCTATTGCTACTGCCTTAGTTGCCTCTAAGAGGTAGAAAGTAGGTTCTTATTGTTGTAGATACAATGCATTTCAGACTTGGAACCAAAAATGACCATGAGCTAGAACAGTCCTGAAAGTTTTCCCCCCAAAGACTTACTGTGCCAGACTCTGAACCCCCAAAATCACCAAGAAACCTGATTCAATGCAAAAGCAGAGTATTTATGATTAACGAGTTAACTGGAGTTCACTTGGGTCCTCTGTCCATCTGACACAGTGAGTGGAGCAGGAGGGATCCCGAGCAGCAGTGGGGCAGGGCATATATACGGGTAGAACAAAGGGAATGTCTGGGAGTCTGCTAGTTGCGTAGCAACAGTCTCAGGATTGGTGCACCTCCAGGTCTGGGCAATCTGTCCTGTGTTGAATGGTCAGCTGCTGTTGCAGGATGGTTGCTATGCCTAGAGGCCCTTCCAGGGCAGCTGCTACACCCTGCATTGCATAATTATCAATAAATCACATCCAGAGCCCGTCAGCTAACTTCTGATTGGTTCCTTGTCACATGGAGGGTGTAAGACCCCAAAAGAGGGAAGATCCTCACTCAAGTCTCAGGATGACTCGACCCCCCCCCCAAGAACTCATGAGAGACCGTCCTTGCTTCAATCACACGAGGTTTATTGACAGGAACCAGCGCAATGGGGCCGAGACTCATATCCCACGCAGGGGTAGGAGAGTTTGACCCCAAATGGCTGGGAATAGGGGTTTTTAAAGGAAGAATCTACAACCCAAAATACAAAAAATACCAGTGAGGGAAGAAACCCCAACCCAAAATACCAAAAATACCAGTGAAAGTTCCTGGGGGAAATCACAAGGGGAAACTCCCTGTTCCTTAAGATTGTTTGTAAGATTCTAATCTAACTTTTTATGGCTAAACTTTTTCTGGAACAGAGTTGCTGAACCGGCTAGCCACCCTATATCCTAGGCCTTATTTTGTCTGCTGAGGGGGTATTCTTTATCCTGGCCTTTCAGAGGTTATCTGGCTTCCTAGTGAATAGGGCAGGGTCAGGCAAGGTTGTGGGCTAAGAACATGTTACTGAGTCAGAGGCCTACATCTTGGTGGGTCTTTTCTGCAGCCTGTTATATCTGCCAAAGCAGGGGCTGGGTGAGGGTCTGGGCCTTTCAGACTAATTTTCATGGTATTAGAAGGTTCCAAGCAAGCTTTGAAAAGAGAGAAGCAACTGACATTCCTACTCAGCTATGATGACAATGAATCACAGCAAGCATGTCATGATAACGCTAAGGGTGTAGTAGTGGCTTGAATACCTTGGTGGTAACCAACAGCTCTCTAATTGGACTTAAGACCCACTCAACAAGAGGAAATCCATGCCCGGTACTGGAAACCTAGTGAACTACTCAGTACTAGAAAAATCATGGATTTTGAAAGAAAGCCTACAACTATCATTTTATTAAACCAGTATAATTCCTAACTAAATATTTATTCTTATATCCACAAATAAGTATAGTCAACACCCTTCATAAAAGAGATTTTTTTGCAATAGGAGATTATAACAGAAACTACACCCAAACAAAATGCAGAGTTGTGAAATCAGTCCTAATAAACACATCTACAAAACACTCCCACACCCGCAGCTCAGCAACAGTTCAGAAGAGGGGAAAGAAAGACTATAAGAGCCAGAGGATCAGGGAGTTTGGTGTGAAATTGGGTCATCTTGTGATGCCAGGAGCCACACCCATCAAGTCTCAACTTCCTAAATAAACATGAGCTAAACAAGAGCAACAACAATAGATATGCAAAAGTGCACAGGGGTGGGGAGGAAGCCATTCTGTGCAATTAACTACAAGCAGCTAAAGAATTCGGAGAGTGAGAGAAATAGTCTTTTCTTGGGAAGACCATATCAATTTATTATTAAAAACCAAGTGATTAGCATTGAAAATATGCATACTATTAACCTTATTGAAACTCATCATGTTAATTTTAGGAATGTATGCATACGTGTAACAACAACTTATAATAAAAAGATACCATGAATTTTAAAAGACATCAAGGAGAGGTGTATGGAAAAGTTTGGAGGGAAGAAAGGGAAGGGGAAAATGATGTAATTTTAATGTAGTCTTAAAAATAAAAGAAATAATTCAAAAATAAATCAGCATCTTTACAAAATAAGAGGTCTTCACTGATTTAAAGTTCAAACTTCATTGTACATGAAGATAAACACATAGTATCTATTCTCATAAATTAAATTGTTTAAAGAAGTGTTACACAAGTAAAATGTGTGATTTTCAGCAGAATACAATAGCATACATGTTTTAACAATGAGGTAATCAATTTATATTTTTATTATGTATATTACAAATATTTAATGCCTATAGTAAAAACACATTTCATAAAATCACCCATAGAATAACTTTTCAAAATACTCATAAAATGAAAATGTTCATTGTGAAATACATGAAACAGTCACAAACCATCCTCTTTCTGTATCTAAAATCCTTACCATCTCTAATATTGCAAATTGCAAACACATAAAAATGATCTCTACTTTTGAATAGTATTAAATGAAAATATTTTATGTATGAAATGAATTTGCTCTCTTCTAACTCCTCAGACCTGGATTCCACTTTATTGTTCTCTAACTTCTGGGAGCTAATTTATCTTTCCTGACATTACCTAAATCCTGTATTACTTATTCATTACCTCAACAATTAGTTCTAGTTGTTAACATATAGAAAGGCAGCTGATAAGTGCTATATTGACAAATGAATCTCTACTATCTGTCTAGTTGAGGCAGAGTGGTGTACTGTCTCTTTTTAACCATGTTAAAGAAGAGAGATGCAATACAATAGTAATAGCAGTTTTAGAATTAAATTTCTAAAGATCTAGACTACTGGAAGGGAGATAGCAGTTATTAAAGTGCCTACTGAACAAGCATGAGCACCTTAGTTAAGATCCACGACATTCAAATAATAGAGACAGAAACAAACATGAGAGTTTCTGCACATCTGTAATCTCACTGTTGATGAGTATGTTGAGAGTGTGGAAGGTGTGGACACAGGAAGATTTTTGGAGTTCGTTGGCCTATCCAAATCAATGAGCTCAAAGTTCAGTAAAAGACTCTGCTGTGAAGAACAGTAAGACAGGGAATGAATGAGGAAGACGCTCAGTGTGGATCTCTGTCCATCATGTGCACATACACACATATGCACATTTACCTATCTGAGCATATGCAAATAGCACACACATAACAAATTAATTAAATGGATTTTCATTCAGATGTCATTAAATTTTTGGCTTATTAGTATTGAACACTGTTGTTAAGCACAATATTGATTTAAATTATGTCACCTTATCAATTAGCCTAGATATGTTGTACTTTTCCTCTACATGCCATAATTATTTATATCTGCTATGCAGATAAGGTTTCAAATGTTTATTCAGATGTCTCTTACCAATAATAACAGCTTCTACCATTTTTCTTTATGTCTTTAGTAAGCAATCATTATTTAGTATCAGAAGTATATGAAAAGTATGCAAGAAATGACAAGGGATGAGAATGGAGAGCATATTGGATCCATAATAGACACATGTGAATATGTGAGTTTATCTCCCTGGTCATGGTTAACTCTATATACTATACACATGCTTAGTCAGCCAATCCTTTTCCTGGGAATTTAGAATCAGAACGAAAAAAGGTAAAATATCATCTGCAGGTGCTTACAATTGTAATATGTAAACCAAATAGCTTTACAGTAGTTATTTCAAATTAATGTCCCTGAGAGCGACAAAGAGGATAGGTAGCTCTGACTATCTTTTAATTGAATTCTTCTTTCATGCAATACATTCCAATCACAGTTTCTCCTCCCTCCACTCTTTCCCTCTCCCTCAGATCCACTTGCCCTCCATTTCTCTTCAGAAAAGAGCAGGCCTCCAAGACACAATATCCAAACATGACAAAACAAGATTCAATAAGACAAGACAAAAGCCCTCATATAGGGGTTGAGCAAAGCAACCCAATAGGAGGAAAGGAGTCCCAAGAGCAGACAAAAGAGTCAGAGATATACCCCCTCCCACTGCCCAATGGGCATAGCATATACACAGAGGACTTGGTGCAGAGCCATGCAGGCCCCGTGCTTGCTGCTTCAATCTCTGTGAGCCCATGTGGAGACCTGCTTAGTTGGTTCTGTGGACCGTGTTCTCCCAGTATCTTCCATCCACTCTGACTCCATTCTGTTTCCTGCAATCTTTTCTTCTCCACTTCTGCAGGGTACCCTGAGTTCTTAGAGAAGGGACATGATTGAGACCTCCAATGAAGACAGTCTCTCTGCATGTCTGGCTGTGAGTCTCTGCACCTGCTCCAATCTGGTGCTGGAGGAAGCCTCTCTGACGATGATTGGACAAGACACCAATCTATGAGTACAGCAGAATACCATCAGGAAGCATTTCATTGATATTTTGCCAGTTATGTTTGTTTCTACCATCTACTAGAATGATATCTATTTAATAAGTAACCAATATTGGTGAAAATATGAAGAAATTAGAACTCCCAGGTATTACTGATCTGAATGGAAAATAGCACAGCTGTTGTAGAACAAAAATATGGTGGCCACCCATAAAAAGGAGGCAAGGAATTGTCAAATGAGAAATTCCATTAGGAGATATATATCCCATATAATTTATAGGAAATTCTTAAAGAAATGTGCACTCTGGCCGGGCGATGGTGGTGCATGCCTTTAATCCCAGCACTTGGGAGGCAGAGTCTGGAGGATCTCTGTGAGTTCAAGGCCAGCCTGGTATCCAGAGCGAGTTCCAGGACAGGCTCCAAAGCTACACAGAGAAACCCTGTCTCGAAAAAAAAAAAAAACAAAAAACAACAACAAAAAAAGAAATGTGCACTCTGGTGTTCAAAACAGCATTGTTAATAAAAGGTAAAACCAAATCTGCCTTTTATCTATGGGTAAAAATGTGGAATATATGTATAAAATGGAGCATTATTCAGTCTTAAACAAAGAGGAAATTCTGGCAGTTTATAAGTTGGAGGAGTCTTAAGAACATGATACTAAGAGGAGGATCCAGACACAAAACGAGTAATATTATTATATTCCAGTTTATATGAGGTACGTAAAGTAGTTATCTTTACAAACAGAATATGGAGTAAAGGCAGTAAACGGCAAAGGGGAAGGGGACTTGGGAAGTTGTTTAACTGATACAGAATTTCAGTTTTTCAAGGTGATAACACTTCTGGAGATGAACATAACATGAATGCATGCAATGCTGAGCAGTACACTTAAAATAAGCATGAAAGAGAAAGGTAAGAGAAAAACTAGAAAATCATCTTTTTCCTTACATTAAATAACACTCACAAGCCTTATGCTAGCAATTCATTTTCACAAAGTTAGTCAGTAGTTTAAAAACATGAAATGGGAACGGTTCCTTGGTATTTTTTTCTATAAATTCCATGCATAAAGCTATTATGGGGTTTATGAGAATCATTTTCCCTTATCCTCATTGGTAATTTATTTTAACAATTAAATTTTAGTTTAGAATATAAGTGACTGAGTACTATTAAGATATTTCACATATTTTTTTTCATTTTTTTCTTTTTGAGATTACAATTAAAACATTTTCCCCTTCCCTTTCCTCCATTCAAACCCTCTGATATCCCCCTCCTCTCTCATGGCCTCTTTTTTCCCTAAGCACAGATTACATTTCTAAATATAACCTGCTCAATTGCTATATCATCACTAATATGTATGAATTCAGAACTGTTTAGTTTGTCCTTTTACACTGTCCTCCCCCAAATCCCTGCCTTCTCTTGCTGGTCTCACCTTTTCCCAAAGAAGCGCCTTCTGCGTTCATTGCATGTGCATCCCATCACTCTCTCTTTTCTTCATCCCCCCTTTTCTTTCCTTAATGTGTATTTCTTCCTCTTTGCAGTCCCAACTTTTGTTTCATGACTTACCTATAAACACAGAGAGAGGGTGTGGGGGGTTACTGACCAGGCTGACTCACACTTTAAAGAAATTTCAGCTTCACTGAACAGAATCTTCAGAGAAAGTACTTATAGAAACAGCATCATATTGCTTCTATGCCACCATGCTTCTTAGAAACACGTACCTAGGAGCAGAGCCACAAATTATTAAAGAAAGAATAATGGTTAGATTTTTTCTGTACAGTTTCCAGCATAGTAAGTTGTAAGATTAAGCATAATAACAATATAGTCTCTACTTGTCATGTCTTACGCAAGAATGGTGAAATCATGTTTTAAGTTTGATTCTCTGGATGTCATTTAGCACAGCATTACTTTGTTCTCCTCTGCCTTCTAAATAAATGGAACTAGAGAATGAAGACATGGAAAGATCGCTCAAGAATGGTAGAGAGAAGTCTTGCTCCAACTACTACCCCAATTAAATTGCCTCAATACAAAAGTCACAGCCCCAACAAGAATAGACTTCTAAGAATCCCACAATGGTAAGTGAAGTGCTGGTTTATGAAGTTTAGAGGAGCTTAACTAATCTGAAAAAACAAACAAACAGAAACTTCTCAATTTTCAAACTTTCACTTTGATCATATAATCAAAAAAGAAACAAAAATTCACTTATGACCCTACTCTTCCCACTTGCCTGTTTCTAGACCTTCACATAGTTTCTCAATGCCTTTACTCTTTCTGTAACTGGGGGCCACTCTCATAACAACCTGCTTGTAGCCACCCTGAAGAGTAATGAATAGAAATGAGTTATAAATATAAAATGGTGTATAAATCTTTTAGCACCAGAGACTTGGGATGCTTTAAATACACAAAGGACAGGTTAATAAGACTATCAATCCTGTCTCTAAAGTATAGACATCTAAAAGTATGATCCCATCCATCTGACTGTTAAAGCCTCAGTTTAAAAGACAAAAGTCTTATGATTTCCATCAATGAATGTAGGGATGTGTGATCCTTTGCCTTTCTTTGTAGGGCCAATTAATAAATTTTCCTATGTGCCAAGACCACATCAGATAGGTTTACATTTTATCTCCAATGGATCTGTGAACTCATTAAGGACTGCTTTCTTAGTTCAGAGGATTTACCTTTCTGCTTTTTTATATCATCTGGATACATTACATTGGGGTGAAGGAATGTTGATTGTACAGTTGTCTGAATATTATATTAGCTAAAATACTAAAATAAACTTAATTCAAATATAAGAGACAAGGCTGACAGTTTTAAAACCTTCTGAAACAATATTTCAAATTGTGTTAATGTTAATACTGAATAATTTGGCTTTCCCTGAGGACCCAATATTTTTCATTGAAAAATTTTTTCATACACTATATTTTCATTAGTTTCCCTTTTTCTATGTCCAACATTCTCCTCAGCTCCCTATCCACTCAACTATTCTCTCTTTCTCTGTCACTTTAGAAAACAAAAGAGAACAGAAAGAAAATGCAGAAACACATACACAACACCCACAAATACACAAAATCAGAAACCATACCATACAAGCAAAAGACCAATAAGACAAAATATGCCAAAACAAAGTAATATGAGACAAATTTCTACAAAAATACCATTGAGGTTGTTTTGTGTTGGCTATCTACTGCTGGGCATGGGGCCTACCACTAAGTGTGATTAATATACTCAGTGAGACTTCATTGAAGAAAATTTTTTTTTTCTTGGCAACTGGTTGTCAATTACAGGTAGTTTCTTAGTTAGGGATGGAATCCCATGTCCACTTCTCTTCTCAATGCTGGGAGCTCGCCTGGCTTGGACACATGCAGGCCCTGTGTTTGCTGCCACAGTCTCAGTGAATTCAGAAGTGCAGCAATCCTACTGTGTCTGGAAGATACTGTTTCCTTAGAGTTATACATCACCTCTGCTTCTTAAAAATCTTTCTTCCTCCTCTTCAGTATAGCTTCCTGATCCCTGAGAGTAGCAAGCAGATGACTAAATCTCATTTAAGACTGATTCAAAAAAATCTCTCAGTCTCTGCAAATTGTCCAATTGTGGATCAACTAATGCAAGACTAATTTTCTCTCATGATGGCTGTATGGCAATGATTTATGGGTATAGCAAAATGTTAGGAATCATTTAAAATTGTATTTGGTTTTCCTCTAGGCCCATGGCCTATCCAATATTAGGATCCTGGCCACCAAACACTGTCAAGTATTGGTGCCATCTTGCTGAATGTGCCTTAAATCTAATTAGAGTGATTTGTTACTCCCACAATGTTTATGCCATTATTGTACCAGCATACCTTGCAGGGTCGTTACAGGTATAGATTGCAGCATTTTTAGCTAGGTTGATGATTATCGATTTCCTCTGGTAGCATGCAGAGTACCTTCAAGTACCACAAATGCTAGTTAATATTAGTGAAGCCTCCAGGTAGGCACCAACTCGACTTCATGGTGTTCAGTGAAATAGCTAATTAGTATCTTCAGCAAGAAGGCTTTACCACCAGATTGTGAAGAGTAACCAAAAGCCTTGGCAATAGCATGAGATGTTGGGGATGCCAACAACACAACTAGATGTAAACTGTTCCTGGCACTGGAGGCTTCATTTAGCTGTTAAAGATGTCTCCTTGGGACATCATCTCCCTTTTAGTGGCTTCATTTAGATGTTTTTACTTGTGTATATATTTTATGGGTTTTGATATGACCCCTAAAATTGCCCTTAATTTTGGTTATTCTTCCCCCATATTCACTCTGTTACCCCTGTCTTCCATAGCACTCCCCATTTAATCCTCATACTCCAGTTTTATGACTCTCCCTTCCTTGTGAGATTCTCCCATCACCAGTAGTTCCTTACTAGATACTTCAGTGGAGATATGGATTGAAATATACATATAGAAGACTTGAAATCTAGCATCCACATATAAGAGAAAACATAAAGTAGTTGTCTCTTGTAATCTGAGTTTCCTTACTCAGGATGACTTTTTTCTAGCTCCATCAATTTATCTGGAAATTACATAATTCCATTTTTAACAGCCAAATAATATCCCATTATATAAACATATCATATTTTCACTATCCACTCCTTGGCTGGTAGACAATTAGATGGTTTCCAATTTCTGGTAATTATTAACAGAATAGCAATGTACATGATAATGTAAGTGTCTCTGTAGTAGAATATACTCATTTGGGTATATGCCCAAGGGTGGCATAGTTGAATTTTGAGGTACATCAATTCTCAGTTTCCTGAAGAACTTTTAAAATGATTTCCACAGTCGCTATATAAGTTTACACTCCCACCAGAAATGAATGAGTGTTCCCCTTTCCCCACATCCTTCCCAAAATGTGCTGTAATTTATTTATTGAACTTTGTCATTCTAACTGTTGTAAGATAAAATCTCAAAGTAATCATGATTTGTATTTCCCTGGTGACTAAAGATGTTGAACATTTCTTTAAGTGTGTTTCAGCCCTTTGTGTTTCATCTTTTGTAAAGTCTGTTTAGTTTTACATCAGGTTTTAATTATGTTGTTTATTTTTCTGAGGTTCAGGATTTTTTTTAGTTCTTTATATATTTCAGATACTAGCCTTCTATTGGAGGCACAATTGGTAAAGATTTTTTCCCATTCTGCAGCTTGCCACATTTTCCTAAGTTGTATAGCTGGATCGTGAGTTACATGGTGGTAGGACCGAATATTTTGAATTACATTGGTCTGGATATTCTCAAAATAAAGCAGTTTTGGATATTTTGTTTTTTTATTAGAAAGAAAATTATTTTACATGTCAATCGCAGTTCCTTCTCCCTCCCCTCCTCCCCTGCCGCCCCAAGTATCGCCCCACCCATCCCATACCCTTTGTGCTCCCAGGTAAGGTGAGGCCTTCCTTAAGGGGTCTTCAAAGTCTGTCATATTCTTTGGGATAGGGTCTAGGCCAATCCCCTTGTGTCTAAGCTCAGGGAGTATCCCTCCATGTAGGATGGGCTCCTAAAGTCCATTCCTATGGCAGCCATAAGTACTGATCCACTACAAGAGGACCCATAGATTTCTAAGGTCTCCTCACTGGTTTCCCAGCTAGTAGTCTGAGGACCAAGAGTTTTCCCTTGCTCAGGTCAGCTGTTTCTGTGGGTTTCACCACCTGGTATGGACCCCTTTGCTCATCAGTCCTCCTTCTCTGCATCTGGATTTCAGTTCAGTTCAAGGTTTAACTGTGGGTGTCTGCTTCTACTTGCACCAGCTGCTGGATGAAGGCTATACAATGGCATATGAATTAGTCACCAATCTCATTATCAGGGGAGGGCATTTAAGGTAGCCTCTCCTATGCTGCTTAGATTGTTAGTTGGTGTCATCTTTGTAGCTCTCCAGACATTTCCCTAGTGCCTGATTTCTCTTTAAACCTAAAACGTCTCCCTCTGTTACATTATCTCTTATTTTGCTCTCTTTTGTTCTTCCTCAAACTCAACCTCTCTGTCCCATTATGTTTTCCTCACCCCTCCTCTTCTCCCCTTCTCATTCTCCTAGTTCCCTCTCCCCTCCCCCATGTTCCCAATTTGCTCAGGAGATCTTGACCCTTTCCCCTTCTCCTGGGGACCATGTATGTCTCTACTAAGGTCCTCCTTAATTACCAGCCTTTCTGGGAGCCTGGGCTGCAGGCTGGAAATCATTTACTCTATGTCTAAAATCCACATATGAGTGAGTACAAACAATGCCTGTCTTCTTGTGACTGGGTAACCTGGCCCAGAATGGTTTCTTCTAGTTCCATCCATTTGCCTGTTAATTTCAAGATGCCATTGCCTTTTTTCTGCTGAGTAGTACTCCATTGTGTAAATGTACTACATTTTCTCTATCCATTCTTCGGTTGAGGGGCATCTAGGTTGTTTCCAGGATCTGGCTATTACAAATAATGCTGCTATGGACATAGTTGAACAGATGTCCTTCTTGTAGGAATGTGCTTCTTTTGGGTATATGCCTAAGAGTGGAATTGCTGGATCTTGTGGTAGACTGATTCCCATTTTCCTGATGAATCACCATACA